GGTGGTCCTTATAAAATTGACGCCAACCATGATGCTCTGGATGATTGGGAAAAGTACATTCATTTCCTGTTATTTTCTGTTAAATCTAATTACAATTTGTTTATAAAGATTCTCTTTTCAACTCAATTCAAACTTTGGAATGATTACACAACTTTTTTTTTTCAAATTGTTCATTTTAATATTGTCAAATAATGCATGCCATGCATAATTAAATATTCATTTTTGATTCTGATTTATTTGATATTTATTTTTTCCAAGCTGAGATGATAGTCCAATCTTTTTGCTTTTTTTCCAAGCTGTGATATCCAAACTATTTGTTTTAATTATTTTGATTGGTTAAAGTTGTTAATAATACATGTATTTAAATAGTTTGACAGTTCAAGTATTTCTTTGTTGTTTTCTTTAATAAACAACAGGGTTTTTAAAAATATTTTTCAAATTTAAAGTAAAGATCAAAGGTTTAGGCTACATATAAAATGCATCCTGTACAGGTTCTATCTAAATGTTTTATGTACAATTTTGGTTGACGTCAACTGGGGTGGAGGTGGGGGGGGGGAGATGACAGAAAATGACAAGGAGGGAGGGGAGGGTTTTTTTGGCTAAATTTTTAGCTGACGTCATTTGAGAACGGTCCCTTATGCTCCAATCGTGCAGTTGAAAGATTCAGGTCTGTTTTCTTTTCTTTTTTTTCTTTTTTTTTTTTTACGTAAACCATTTTCACGTCCAGCTCCAGGCTAATTCCTCATTAAATATGAGGAGTCAGTATACATTGTGCATAGTTGGTTTTTTTAACACAGTACAGTGGATCAGTATTTGTATCTACTTACATCATTTAAAAACAAGTCACATGGTTAGAGCAAAAAACCACCGAGTAGCCTTGTCAAAGTCCAAGCCCAAAGGAACTTACTTAGTTTTTCCATTACTGTCTACAGTTGCGGAAGAGAACAAACGCTAGCAGAAAGGCCAGACATCGCAGAAATAACCATGTGTGCTGATCTGACAGTAATGCTTTTGGGAAAAACTGGCCACGGCAAAAGTTCCACGGGTAACAGTATCTTGGGTGAAGAGGTATTTGATGTATCCGATTCCTCCCAATCGTACACGAAGGTAGTGAGGCGAGGGACCAACCGAATCGACTGCCGTCAAATAAGTGTCATTGATACGCCTGGGCTCTACGACACGCACGATTTCGACCCCACCACAGAAATTTCCAAAACGACAGAGTACATCCGGGTCGGCTTCAACATGAGCTTGCACAACCGTGTGGACGCCTTCCTGCTTGTGTTGCCTTATGGGACAAGACACACCAACGAGGAAGCAGCGGCAGTCAGGGCGTTAGAACGTACCTCTTTAGACCGAAAGCTGTGGGATCGATGTATTGTTGTCTTCACGTCTGGCAGCGACTTTCTGTTGTTCAGACGGAAATTCCGCCGCCCGATAACGTTCATGGACTGGTGCATGAACCAGGGAGGTAGCCTCGGGGAGCTACTTCAAAGAGTCGAATACAGATGTCTGCTCTTTGAGAACTTGAGAAGTACAGATATTCAAGAACGTGAGCAGAGGCAAAATCTCTTTCGAGAAGTTGACTACATCAGACGCCACTGTGGAACGTTCACCAAATCTGACTTCGAGAAAGTTATCAACAAGAGCAAATCGTTCTTTTCAAGAATAAAAAGCGCCTGCACCATTCTCTGAAAGGGAACTCGGTTGTTATTTTTAAAATGTCAAATACAATGTTTATCCTTTTCTTTTCTTTTTTTTTTCTTTTGGTGCTTTTTATAGTGCGATCAAGTGTGCATAGTTTTTCCAGAGACACTGGCCTGATTGTGAGCAATGCTTACAAATAACAATTATGAATCATTGCTACCTCTTGTCCGAGTCGCTGCACATTCCCTCATCGCACAAAGCCTGTTTGCCTTCCATCTTGGGACCGACTACCCCCCCCCCCTCCCCCAACCATTAAAACCATTTGTCTATACCCCTATATGTATGCAAATAGATTGATTAGGTATGTATGTGACGCGGTGTACATAGATGTGATGAGACAGAGAGAGAGAGAGAGAGAGAGAGAGAGAGAGAGAGAGAGAGAGAGAGAGAGAGAGAGGGGAGAAAGAGAGACAGAGAGGGGGGAGAGCAGAGAAAGAGAGAGAGAGAGAGAGAGAGAGAGAGAGAAGAGATGTAAAGAAAAAGAAGGAGATAGATCAGGTACATTGATAGAGAGAGGAGAGAGAGAGAGAGAGAGAGAGAGAGAGAGAGAGAGAGAGAGAGAGAGAGAGAGAGAGGAGAGGCCAGAGAGTGAGAGAGAGAAAGGGGGAGGGGGTGAGAGAGAGAGAGGGAGAGAGAGAGAGAGAGAGAGAGAGAGAGAGAGAGAGAGAGATATGTCTATGTAATATAACACACTGAATGCCCCATATATACGTGTCGAATGTTTCTATATATTATCAGATCACTTTGCGGGATAATGTAAGTACGGGATAAACGCGTGTCGTAGCGTGGTGGAATCAGGCGCTCATCAATTTCAGGCGTGTTGATTTGCTGGTATACTATAATCAGCCTGATTATTTGCCTTGATTTTGATGAAAAAAAACAAACCCATCTATGTAGAATTTGAATAGAAATCGGGATTTTTGCGATTGAAGGGCATGGGGATCACCTGGTGGCAGAGGTAAAATTAACGAAAAAATAGTCGCCAAAGTTTGGTGGCTTCCTAAGCTGTAGGCTCTTGTCTAGTGTCCTTGGAAACAACAATTTCACTTCTTTGAGTCTTTGATAAAAAGATTTTCAAATTTAAAAAATCCGTGCAGGAACGTGTTTTAAAATGATCATTAAAGACGTTGAGCCCAAAACAAAACAAAAGAAAAAGATAAAAGGGCCAAACAGGCGGTAGAATGTTGATTTCTTTGATTGTATTACTTTGACGAGCGCCTGATTTCACTACAACACCCAAGTAGATATGATTAACCACCCCCCCCCCCCCCCCCCCCGTACTTCGATAGTTTGCATACCTAAAATACTTCGTGTTCCTTTTTTGGATAATACTCGTACTTGGAGAAGGTCAGTAGTACCAAAGAGTCTACATAACAAGAGGGGCCTCTTCTCTCTTTGAGCCAATTAAAAAAGTGTCCTCAAAATTCGGTGGCGCCCTCTTCGCAAAAGCGCACCCTTTGCGAACAGAGTTACCCTACTTGAGTTTTAAAAAATTAAAATGAAACTAGCAAGTTTTTGAATGAATTTCAGAAGAACGCTTTTTTAAAATGGTTACGCTGACAAAAAACCTCTTCCGGAGGAAAGAGTGATTGTTTTCTTCGTTTAATTTGACTTTAGAATGAAAGGCGAGAGGTCATTAAAATTTTATAAAAACTAAAACTCCACACTGAACGAACCCGAATGGTGATGAACAGCAGTCGATCTGCGCACGCAATGAGATGCTATTCCTATTCTTCTTCTGGAAAAACGAAAGAGAGCTTCAAAACAGACAGCAGCGCCATCTGAAGCAAAGATCGAACTTCCTGCAGACACTTTTTGGCTGAGTGGCCCATCTTGTTATGTACTATCTTTGCCTATGGTTCAGTATAATCGGTACCTCATGTTTGATGGTATTGTATGGTTCAGTAGTATCGGTACCTCCTATTTTATAGAAAAGTGTGATATGACTAGGCTAGGCGATTATATGACCGTCTAGGGCTAGGCCTATTGACCCTTTCCAACGCAGTGAGTAGACAGGTTCTTGTGTGCCTGTATAATATGGTAGGGTCTTTAAAGATGTAAGTATGGGTGTTTTGCGCCCCCGTGGATAGAATTTAGGTCATTCGGGAGGCGAACTGCTTTGACCCTATCAGTCAGTGCTGATCCGGGTTGAAAAGGAGGTGATGGAGTGGGAGCAGAAAGTGGAGACGAAAGCAGACGATAGAACATTTCTGAGAGCAGGAAAGGAGGTGAAAGGAGACAATTTAGAGAAGAGGAATTTCCGGATTCGAACCCTGGGCTTATTGAATGAGAGGCGAACACCTTAACCTCTAGGCCACGAGAGACCCCAGACAAAGTTTAAGTTCCTGTAATTTCATAGCCTGGCCTAAACCCTGTAACAGTTGTTACAGTATTTCAAAGAGCGTTTTTTATCACCGATACTTACTAGGACATGAATGTATGAATAATGATTTAATGATTTTTCAATATGTAGAGATTCCTGGATTCAAGGCGATTCCTTTTATTATCTCGGCAAAAGAAAATAAAAACGTGTAATTGAACATTTAATGGAAACACTTGAAGAAAAAAACATTAATTATTTTTTAATTCCTTACTTGTGGTCATAACAAAGCGTACCAATAAAGCATGAAAACAAAGGAAACATAAAAAGTAATTGGAAGAAACTTCAAACTTTTGGAAGTAACAATTAATTGGAGAAGAACAAGATTTAAATAATATTTTATTCTCTGTATGTTTCACGAGATTGTGACGGATCAAGTTGCACTGTAAAAGTTGAGTAGTTCGCATGGAGTTGCTGTGTGCCCTGCGTCCCTTGCTGAGAATAGTTTGCTTGATTAATAATAATAATAAACTCAAAGAGATTATAATACATGTAGTACTAGAGGTTGCAGCTGTGACGTCACCCACGTAAACTCACAATTGCTGTGCGGGCCCATTCAGATCACTTTGCCGCCATTTTTTAGAGGATTAGAAATAGCGTTGTCACGCTGGGATACTGTAAATCACTCATTGTATGGATCCTGTGTGCACACCCAAAGAGCGTTGTTTAATATCGGGCACAAATGATTATAATAGACTGACAACATTCTAAAATGCAACACTTAGATAATTCCGGTTTATCTTAAACGTTTACAATATTTTCTCAAATTGGCGTTGATTTGCAATGGTGTTTTGCCTCATAACACCCCTTCTTCCTTGAACCCCTGCTGCTGCTGTTGCACATGCTGTTTGGCATCGGTTCAGCAAATGAGACAGAATATTGCGCAGGTATCATTGGTGGGTAGTTGCGCTGGGTTGGCTACTTTATATTCTCTCATCTCAACAACATCGTAGTGGTTCTTTTCCGTTCAGCCAGCCTTGAAGATGTGCTAGAGTTACCGCTGAAGCTTCTAGCAGCTTCTCAGTCATATTCCTGATTCCAGAGGGCCGATACAAGCGCCATGTTGTCAGCGGTGCTAAATCTAGACATACTGTTTGGGCGACGAACAGCAAATGATTTCAATAGAATTATATTCTTTTACTTTCATAAGTGATCATTAAGAGAAACATCTAAATGAACACCAAAATGAAAGTCCTGAAATGCTATGTTTGGTTAACCCTTCTGTATGGCTGTGAATGCTGGACAATCACTAAAGACAGTGAAAATAAATTAGAAGCAACAGAAATATGGTTTCTTATGAGACTGCTTAGAGTATCGTGGAAGGAAAAGAAATCGAATGAGGTAGTGCTTGATGAAGCCCACGTGGGACTCTCAATGTTAAAAACAATCAGGAAACGACAAATGCAGTTTTGGGGACACCTGAATAGACATAAGGATCTTGAACATCTAGCTCTCCTCGCCAAATTGAGGGCAAACGAGTCAGGGGTAGGCCCAGAACAACATACTTAGGGAACCTAAACAAATGGGTAACAGGGAAATATCAGGGAAACGTAGCTTTTTTTTTAGAGCATCCGAGCAAAGGAATGAATGGAGAACCATGACCGCCGATGTCTGTCGCAGATTTGGCACTGGATGATGATGGATGATCATCCAGTCCATCTCATTCGTTTTTTTCTTAATCTTTCTCTCCGGTATGGTCACACAGTGTAAAAAGCCCTATTTGCATAATTTGGAGATAATCTGGCTCATTAATAATAATAATAATAGATAGCATTTGTATAGCGCATACCCCCGCTCAGCAGCAGGCTCTATGTGCTTTACACTATATTATTACCCCGGCAGACCATAGAACACTCCGAAACATTCTCAGCATCCCGGGAAGCATACAGTGCAAGCAGCCGATTAAGTGCTCAAACACTAACAAACTGACAAGATCTTTCGCTGTCTATAGCCGGGTACCCATTCCCACCTGGGTGAAGTGAGGAAAATTCGTGTTAAGTGCCTTTCCCAAGGACACAACGTCGGGCCCTTGACGGGATTCGAACCCACGACCTTATGGTTGCAAGTCCGAGAGCTAAACAATTACAAAAATCCCCATCTGTACATTTTAGCGATTGGCAAATCACATGAAAAAGAAATCAACATCAAAAGACTTCGAGGAGTATCATTAATCCGTGACTGAAAAATGTTGCTGTGCGCCGAATGGCCTTTTATTCCTCCCCTGATTGGCGGCGCACCCCTCAAGTTTGACACTCGTGACGTCACAGCTAAGACCTCTAGTTCTATTTATAATCTCTTTGTAATAAACTACATCAAACGTTAGATACCAGTGTCTCGTATCAAATTCCACTCGAATTTGACGCTGGTGAAGATTCTGAAGTCAGAAATTCAAAATGTTTGGCTTTGGCACCATTTTATTTTTAGCGTCGTGTACCCCGATCGGCGATCCAACACATAATTTTCAGGATTGTTCTGAATTCAAGCAATCTCCCGGTTTGTTGAAATTTTTTACTGAGCAGTCCGGATTTTGGTCTTGTGTGATCTCAAGATTGTCTTAAGATCATCTTGAGATCGCGTTCAGATGGCCTTGAGACCATCTCAAGACGGGTGCACCCTTTTAAATGCGTAGTGAGCGGCGGGTGTAAGTCTAGTCGGTGACGTAATGAAAACTGCGCGAGACTGTCTGCGCTTCCCATAGACTTATGTCACTATACCCTAAATCGTTCACTCTGACGTATTTAATTTCCGCTTCTCTATGGAGCCCATCATTTGACTCAATTTGAGTCAAAAGAAGGGCAAGATGGAAAAGGTGCCGCATGCAATCAATTAGGAGACTGGTGTTTCGACCTTCATTTTGGGTATAACAGCGCTCTTCAAGGTGTGCTTTTAGTTT